GCTGCAGCGTGTGGATGTGTGGCACGAAAGTCTGCATCGAGGTGAAATAAGCATTTTTGTGCAGCAAAGGTGCCCATTAATATTAGCAACATTATTAAGATTGGTATTAGTAACATATAGCTTGTAGAAATGGGAAACAACTTGATACTATTGTGGAGCAACAACAGCTTGCCTTCACCTTCAGAGCCTGAGAAGATCTTGATCTCACAAGCAGTACATGAGATGGTCAGTGCACAGAAGAGCATTCACGTTTATTATTTATTTATTAACCATATCTTAATATCTTAAGGCGACTCAGGGCGGTTTACAAACGGCACAATTCGATGCCTACAAACCAAAGAGCAATTCAAACATTTAGCATCAATAACATTTGATAAAAGAAAATAAAACCGATAAAAATATAAATCCACAGCATCTCATTACTAAAATAATTACCCAATCACATTGTCCAGTTGTTCCGAAGATCAGAGTTTGTCTGCTACACTGCATTTGGGAAGGCTTGCTTAAAAAGCCAGGTTTTAATTTTTTTTCGAAATGTTAGGAGGGTGGGGGCTGATCTGATATCCCTAAGGAGGGCGTTCCATAGCTGAGGGGCCACCGCTGAGAAGGCCCTGTCCCTCTTTCCCGCCTACCGAGTCTGTGAAGAAGGTGGGACCAAGATCAGGGCCTCCCCAAAAGATCTTAGGGTCCTAGATGGTTCATAAGGAGAGAAACGTTTGGACATTGACATATACCTCTGTGCAGAAATAATACATTGCCTTACTTTGAAGGGAATAATATTAAAAAATAGACCCTAGTTCAGTATTTTTGTTTATTGCGTAGTTTTTAATGTGTATAAATTCTGCTACTTGAATCCATCATAGTTTGAAGTCGTCCAGACAGAAGTTTATCATCTCATTTGCTTTTTGGAGCCTGGGTTCTGCCAACTCCCCTGGCTCCCAGTTTGCTACCGGGCACAATTCAAAGTGGTGGCTTTGACCTATAAAGCCCTAAACGGCCACGGCCCAGTTTACCTGTCCAAACGCATCTTCCCCTATGAACCATCACGGAGATTAAGATCCTCCGAGGGGGCCCTGCTCTCCATCCTGCCGTTTCACAGGTGCAATTGGTGGGGATGAGAGGGAGGGCCTTCTCAGTGATTGCCCTATGGAACTCCCTTCCTGGTGAGATCAGATCGGCCCCCTCTCTCCTGTCCTTCAGAAGGATGGTAAAAACTTGGCTGTGAGACCAAGCTTTCGGGACAGGGCAATAAAGCAGCAATAGGAAACCTTACCAGGCCAATTAGATTAGATGCAGATGATCAACACAGTTTTAAACAGTGTGTTTTAATATTGAGACAAATGTTTTTAATGTTTATGTATGCATATAATTAATTCATGTCCCAGCATTGAATGGTTGCCGTATATATGTTGTGCGCCGCCCTGAGTTCCCTTCGGGGTGAGAAGTGTGGAATATAAATGTTGTAAATAAATAAATAACCCTTGTGCTGGCAGGACGTCAGCAGTTCAAATCTGGGGAGAGCGGGTTGAGCTCTCTCCGTCAGCTCCAGCTCCCCATGTGGGGACATGAGAGAAGCATGCCACAAGGATGGTAAAACATCAAACATCTGTGCATCCCCTGGCAACATCCTTACAGACAACCAATTCTCTCACACTAGAAGCGACTTGCAGTTTCTCAAGTTATTTCTGACATGGAAAAAAAATGCTTTTTGACAAATATTCTATTTTTTTCACAATCTTGTGGCATCTGAGATTGTTACTGTTTTTCATAATTTTTGTTGTCTCAAGTCTTTCCAAAGTCTCTGATGTTTTATTCAACTAGCTAGTGCTATGGGATATTATTGTCGTTAATTATGGACAGTCAGCTGGAGTCCACATTTACTCAGAAAAGCAGTAAACAGAAATTAATGTATATCCCATATCTTGAGAGTTTGATTCCATTTCTGTCATTATACGTAAGAAACATATTGTACAGACGTTGGCTGCTAGCTTTCCTGGCTGAAAAGAGAGCATTGGCTGGCTGCCACTCACACTCCAAGCCTTTTTTTGTTGGTAAAATTTTCATATGGACAATGACAGACATCTTGGATATAGCTTACTGGCACGTCCAGCGCCTTGCTGCTTTATAGTAGACAACAAACAGTTGAGTTCAGGTGTAGTTGACTGCCAGGTTCAGTAGCCATAGAGTTGGACAAGACCTGGGCACAAGGCCCATAGTGTTCATTCTTGCAAGTGTTGACAGACCCTTACCCAGCTGCAAGGAAGAACAGAGAGCAGCACTAGGAGGCCTGTAAAGAACTCCTTGCCTTAAGCAGCTAGAATGTGGGCCTGGTGAAGCCCTGGTGGCCATCTTAGGATAGGGAAACAAGGAGACGTCATCTTAGTTAAGGGTTTTCTAGAGGGGGCATGTCCTAATCTAGGAAGCAGAGATTAGACGGCCAGGATTGGTTAGAAAATAGGGGCCTAGCGTTCAAAAAGAAAAAAAGTGTACCTTTTGAACTGAGGCTTGAGTTGGCAGTTGGAATTTGTCCGTTGGAGAGTTTATCAGTTGGTGATAACGGTTGGTGTTAGATAGGAGAGCTGGGTTAATCTTTTGTGGTATTCAAGAACTAGAGAAATTAGCTAGGAATACAGATAGTGGGGCAGGACCTTGTTTGTGGTCTGTTCTTTGTCCCTGAGGAAGGCTAGGCCAAAGGCTATTGGCTAGGTTCCAGAAAGGGGGAATTTCGTTTGGAATTATTATCAGCGATTAATTTCCTGAGATAATTTCCTGTTTTGTTAGCATCAAGATTTGAACCCAGAACCCATCTAAGAATTGTACATCAAACGTAACCAGAAGCTTATGTACCAGTAACTTACTGAAACCACTATGCATTTGTACCAGAAGAAGTCTAAGCCTGTTAAATAGACGTTTTATTATTAGTAGCACTTTACAACAGCCTCAGTGTGAACATCGTGATTTAAACCCTCTAGAGAAAACAAACATTATTGTAACACAAAAGGGTGTTACTAACACATACTCTTCACATACAACTCAGCCTGAATACCAAACAAAAAGGTGGCAGCGAAAACAATTGAAGAAACAGTTTCAAGATCTCCCAGCTGCCTCTTTCCTGTTTTAAAATATTCCCCTGCACCTATATATAAGTTGGTTGGCAGCTTGTGGGAATTACTATTTTAAAATTCCCCGTTTCTTTCCCTACTAAGTTTCTTATAATTGATGGCAATCGGCTGGTATAGTTTTTCCCAGGTTCCTTATAATTGGTGGAGCAGTGAGGGGCAATTATTTCTATACCTTACCCTGTCTGATAAATTCAAATTATTTAAAATCTTCTCGATCATTCCAGAATATCCTTATAAGGCCCTTCTCTACAAAATGCTTCTCAGCACCATAGAGCTGTCAAAGCCTGAGAGACCACTGGCTTCTCCTTCTTCTTCCTCTGCTTGAAAGGCCCTTTGGTGCTAAGCACAATGGCTATACAAACTTTGGTCTCAAAGTCAGCATCAGCTCTGGCTCCTTTAATGGATTCTCTATTGACTCCGCCTACATTGGAGGGCCCCAACAGGAGCCTTCTACCCTAGCTGCTCAAAGGACTCCTGAACCCAAGGCCTCTCCAGTGAGATCCCCTATGCTAGTCAGCTCTATGTCTTCAGATCCGCTTAAGAAGATGATGAAAAGAAAGGACAGAGTGGGAGGTTTTCAGCTCTGTTGCACCCAGTCATTATCGTGTGTTTGGGTTCTTCACAACCTTCCATGGCATCACCTCCTTCAGCAACAGGATGAATCCCGTCCATCTTCAGTTGATGTCCAACAGATGCCTATAAATCATGGCACTGAATCGGAAGGGGAGGTCCATGATACTCTCCCTTCTCTGAACCAGAGTTTCTTAAACTATGGATCAAGACCCCAAAATGTGTTAATTGTTATATGTTAAAGAAGAAGTGATGCCAATGAATTTCAAGATGGTAATGTCCCTGAAGGGAGTGCAACAAATAGTATACTCCCTGAATTGTTTCCAGAGAGTTCCCAGGATTTGAGGCTTGAAAATAACTGAGCACCTGGCCCAGCTGCGAGACTTAATGAGCAAATAGATAGGCGAGAGGAAATTAGTCAAAACAGACAGGCCGAACAGTGCCTTCGGCGTTCTGCCAGGCTTCGACAGAAAAAGATAAGGGGATCTCAAGTAAAACGAAACCAATTCCTGAGTGCGTGGAATAGCTTAACGAGGGAATAAAAGTTCCATGTATGGGAAATATAGTCAGATGAAGCATCGTTGGACTCAAGTGTAGTTCTTGTCCTTTGTTTCATGGAAGCTTTGCTTGGAAGATTCTTGTTTAAGTATTTCTTGTTCATGGTTTGGAGTGTATGAATGCCTATTCAGTCCTTGAATTAATGTTTCCTGTTTTCCTAAATTATAATAGAAAAGTGTGGACTTTGTTTTTATGGACTTTGCTGAACTTTACCCTGGACTGTTTTTGCTCCTGCTTATCTTCTTACTTAAATGGATTTACCTATTTCTTTTAAGTGCTTTTTACTTGCTGCTTTCTAATTATCTTCAATAAAAGGATTGTTTTCCATTCAACGGTGTGATGTTTTAAAATCAGAGGGCTTTTCCTGTCCTGGAGTGCAACACATGTATAGAATTGACTAACAAAACTTTGTAACCAATATATCGTATTTTTTACTATCTCCCACCTTTTCCCCCCTTCCCTTGTTTCCCTTTCCTTTACGTCATAAAACTGTGAAAATAAAATAAAATATCATTTTTAAAACGAAATGGAGAAAGGAAGGTTCAGGAAATTAGAAGTACCAGTCAAATTTCTGAAACATTGTAAATTGGCCAGTATGTGATTATCTCAAAAATAATTCATTCATTACTAGGAGGTTATGTTGGTTTACAAGAATAAGTCACACCAGGTCCCGTCCTCCCCCCTCCCCCCCCAGGACCCAGGAAGATGTTTTCTATATAGTAACAAGTGTCTCTTTTCTCTCTTTTGCAGACAAAATCATTAATGACCAAGGCTATGAAGTCATGATGCAGATAGACTGTGAAGTGATGGACACCAGGATTTTGCACATCAAAAACTCTTCCATACCGCCCTACCTTCGAGAACAGCAAAGGAATCACACTTCCTTCTACAGTTCTCCCGCAACCGTCCCAGAGGCAGCCCCTGTTATGAGAGTTTGATCCCTTTCTTGGACTTGGGGACTGTTTTTTGTTCTTTCCTGTGTCTTGCTTGTAAAGGAACTGAAGCAGGAAGAGGAACTGAAGCTGGGTGGCTCCTTCTCCTTGGCAGAAATGGACCTTTGCACTAATTCCACCAATTTGCCATTCCCAGCCAATGGAGAAGAAGCCATCCACTACAGAAAACACCTATGACCAGAGGGGCCAGATAATCTTGCACCAACTTCACTTAACCTATTTGTAGATGATCTTGAATATGTCTTAATGGACCCCAATATTTATTTGCCCAAACTTAGACATAGGAACGTTTCCACTTTTCTCTTCACTAGTGATGCAGGTCTTGTTCTAGATCTGGGCTAAATTATTGAGGTGGTGTTGAATTATTTTTCTACTGAATGATGTAAAAAATAATTTTGGGAAGTGTAAACTTATGGTTGGGGAAAAAAATATTCCCAATGCGGATGGACATTAGATGGCCATGGGAGAAGTTAAAGGTGTTCAGTACCTAAAGCTACGTCTACTGAATGATGTAAACCAGGGGTCCTCAAACTTTGTAAACAGAGGGCCAGATCACAGTCCCTCAAACTGTTGGAGGGCTGGATTATAATTTGAAAAAAAAAAGATGAATTTCCATACACACTGCACATATCTTATTTGTAGTGCAAAAAAATGCTTTAAAACAATACAATAATTAAAATGAACAATTTTAACAAATATAAACTTATTAGTATTTCAGATATGTACCGCATCGGAATACTTACATGTGGCATTCCACCCTTTTGCGGTGAGGAGTCCTGCTATGCTTACGCTAATGAATGCTTCCCCTTCCCCACATTTATGGTATCCTTGCTTTTGGCCTCTCCTTATATTTAAAGTTCGAGCAACAAGCTCATTACCATTCTAAGAGCACAGCTGCACCATAAACTTTTATTTGCCTTAATAAACCCACTGACTATGCAGGGAGAAAAGGATATGACAGCCCGCCTCTAAAATATGTCAATGTGTACATCTATACAAATACAGATATTCCAACACACACAAGACCTCAATATCCCAAGCCCCTTCTAGTCCCAACATTTTGGATACTGAAAACTCAACCTATATAAATGTTGCCCTGATCCACAGTCTCCAATTTTAATATTTCCAGCTGAATGCTCAGCCCATACTGTCATGTTTGCCTTGTGCACTGAGGTTGCACCTCTAATTAGTGGGCTTTGTGTTTCTCATTTGGAAAGCAGCACTGCTGAAGATGAAGCAAAGCTGAGGGCAAAAAGCTATCACCAAAGTAAGATTTTCTCTAGCATCTTTTATCTTCTGAGCAGTAATTTTTTGACAGACCCTTGATCACTTGACAGAATATGGGGAAACAATGTCGTATAGCTAAATATAACCTGACTTCCAGTTTTGAAGCTCTAGCAGGAACTTGGAATGAAATCAGCTCTTCTTACCAGTGTCTGGTATGCACTCAACGGCTGGTGAAAACTCAAGTATTTCAAAGGTGGAATGGTTAAGATAATGTTTAATGTTTATTTCAGTGGCTAGGAGCCTTCTTCTTACCCTCAGCATGTATTTAATTGAAAAGGAGACAGAGTCTTTTGCAGAATGGAAGAAAGGAGAGAGAGCAAAAAGTGTTACACTTCAGATTAAAATGTGTGGGGGGGGAGGGTGAGAGTGGGGTATAAGGGGGGCCATCTATTTCGCAAAGCTTGGCCCGTACTACAATTGGACTCTTTGTCTATGACCAATCCCATCTATGCTGTGTCATTTTTTTCAAAAAGAAAAAATATGGTAAAAATCCCCTTTCCCCATTCTAGGACCTGAACTTACATTCTAAATTAATCAGAGAAATAATTAGTTCTATTTATTAGAAAACAGTCCTCAGCTAAGTAGCAAGGTGCTTGCTTGGCATCTTTTTATATTCTCGTTTAATGTTTTGTCAGAAGTCTTCTATTGCTTTGGAATCCCGGTACTGTGTGATCTGTAGGTTTGTTTCGGGCTAATAGCTTCCCATGTAGTCGTCTGAAGCTTCTTCCCTGTATTTCTCTACCTTATGTTTCCTACTGCATCTAGTGCACTAATGTAGTAAGCATCCTCTATTCTATGGTTTTTTGAGGGTCTGTTGGAAACTAGCGAAAATTGGGTTTTATTATATCCTGTGAACGTGCAAGTATGTCGAGAAAGAACCTCTTGTATTTTTAGAGCCAGTGCCATGGTCTACCAAATTACCTATATGCGCTTGTGGACGAGTCCAACAAGGTACTCTTACAAACGACAGCATTGCTCCCAGCTCGAATCAAGGAACAGAAAGGCACTCGCAGCTACTGTCCCAAAAACCTACGATAATCCCAGACTACCTTCCAAGTTGTCTGGACTCTGTCACGTTGCCAGGGCTCTGCCGTTATTTGCAGCATGAACCAAACAAACTCCCATTTTCTGTTAAACAATTTAATTAAAACAGCACTTACTTTCTGGCTGTTTTAATAGTCCAAAACATAAAACATAAAGATAGCACTCAGCCACAGAATATAAAACAAAACTGACAGCAAACACTGTTTCAGGTTCAAGATAACACCGTTGTCAAAAGGTCCAGTCCAGTAGTAAAACGCTGAGAGTTCAATGAGCAAAGTCCAGGGATCAAGAGTCTATTCCGTAGTCAAAAGCCAGTCCAGAGATTCAAGGTTCCAGGGTTCCAAGAGTACAGGAGACAAGTCAGGATACCGAAAATCCACAAACCTGGGGGGAAATCAGCAGCATCTACCAAAATAAAACAAATACTTGTCTCCCAAAGATCAGTCCCAAGGCTAGCTCATTATATCCAGAAACACCCTGCTACAACCTATCTCTTGCATACCTCCATCCTTAATTACTTTCACCCATGAACTCTTACTTACAGATTACCCAAACCTTTAGAACTAAGACTTACATTAACCCTTCCATCACCAACTGCTAGGCCTGCTACCACCAACCACCATCAACTGCAGAACATGATACATGACACATATTATTTGAGAACACAGAAATGCTGGACCACTCTAACAACCACCATGTCAGACTACACAGAAAAGCCATTGAAATCCACAAGCATGTGGACAATTTCAACAGAAAGGAGGAAACCATGAAAATGAACAAAATCTGGCTACCAGTATTAAAAGAACTCTATAATTATAACAGTAAAACAACACTCAAGCACAGGGGAACACCAGAGGGGAAACAATCAGGGACAGCTAATCACCTCTCAACAAAAGATTCCCCCAGGCAGTAACAAGCCACACCTAAAACCTGCTAGGCCATTAAATGCTAATCAAGGTGGCCAATTGAAACATTCCCAGCTGGCTCCAACAGACAAGAGTTCTTTCTTCCAACCTGGACCTTCCACAGATATATAAACCCAATTTTCCTAGTTTCCAACAGACCTCACAAACTCTGAGGATGCCTGCCATAGATGTGGGTGAAACGTCAGGAGAGAATGCTTCTAGAACATGACCTTATAGCCCGAAAACCCTACAACAGTGGTTCTCAACCTGTGGGTCCCCAGATGTTTTGGCCTACAACTCCCAGAAATCCCAGTCAGTTTACCAGCTGTTAGGATTTCTGGGAGTTGGTCCAAAAACATCTGGGGACTCCAGGTTGAGAACCACTGGCCTACAACAACCCATTCTTGTTAACATTTTTCAGTTGGGCATGGGTTTTCTTCTATATCTATCTCAGGAGGGTTATATAAGGCACTGGTCAGAATTGAGTGCCTATTAAGCTGCTTCTATTTGTCTGGCGTCATCCTTCATATTGCACTGAAATCAATAAAACAAAGACTGTGGGATATTTCTTTCTATGACATTCCTGTTCATCCTTCCCATTGAGTATAGAATGTGTTGGGCCTTTGTCACATTGCTAGGGCTCTACCTTGTTTAGGTAGAGATTAATCAAAACTTCTAGTTTTAACAAACAGTTTAATTAAAACAGCACTTACTTGCTGGCTGCTTATATAGTCCAAAACATAAAACACAAAAACAGCATGCAGCTACTGAATAAACAAAAACTGATAGCAAAAATAACTTCGTAGTCAAAAGGGTCCAGTCCAATGGTCAAATGCTGAGAGTTCAATAAACAAAGTCCAGGGATCAAGTGTCTATACTGTAGTCAAAAACCAGTCCAAAGGTTCAAGGTTCCAGGATCCCAAGATTACAGGAGACAGGTCAGGATACCGAAAAATCCAACAGACTGGGGGAAAAGCCAACAGCATCCACAACCAAACTACACCAGATATTTTTCTATCAAAGTTAGCTCCTTAAATCCAGTAACACCCAGCTGCAACCCTTCTCCTGCACACCTCCACCCTTAAATGTTTTTACCTGTAAACAGTTTCTTACAAACTACTCAGCCCTTTAGAACCAAGACTTACATTAACCCTTCCATCACCAACTGCCAGGTCTACCACCACCAACCACCATCAACTATGGAACATATGACAGACTTTCAGAAATTTTGACTGTCATTCATTATTGCAGACTTTTCACATATGTTTTTCTCTCTGAAGTAGATTTTCTGATGCCCCTTCCACCTCAAGGCTATGTCCCTGTAGTGACCAGGAGGAGTCTTTCCCTGAAAACCCCTGTGGATTCTCCAAACAGGTCCAACAGCATATGGTCACTACCAGGACATTCAGCCCAATTTTATGTCACATTCTTATCAGAAGTGTCACTTAGGTCATTGCCACATTTTTGTCAGGATTACAGAACAGTTAACTCCTGTATTATGAGAAAATATCTGACATAAGCTCTGCCTAAACGATTTGACCCAATTGCTCCAAGTGCTTTGAACTCAAATTACATGTTCTGAATTTGAACTTGTTGGGTGTATAATAGTAATAAAGAAATTGCGTTGTAGCTGCTGTGCAATCTAGCTTGGGCCACTGTTTTTCTAAGGAGCGCGTTGGGTAAGGACCGAATGAGGTAAACACTGTGGGCTGGAAAAGTTGGGTTTCCTACCCAAGATAAATATAGTTTATCTTGGAGAGGAAACCAAGGTCCAGCCAAAGAAAAATGCATCTCAGGATGGAGTAATAGAAGGGCAGCAAGCTCTGAAATTCTTGTGGCTGAAGGGATGAACCAGAGTCTTAATGCAAAGAATCCAAGGGCCCTTCCACAAGGCTGTATAACCCAGAATATCAAGGCAGAAAATCCCACAATATTTGCTTTGAACTGGATTATTTATTTTATTATTTATTTATTTACCTCCTTTCTCAGCCAGAGGCGACTCAAGGCGGTTCACAGTCGGCAGCGATTCCATGCCATAACAAATATCAAAATACAGTTAAAACA